CAAGAAGGGGCGCGGCACTGTCTCGACACCAGAAGGGGGGCGCACGGGGTGGTCCCTCAGCGTGGCCTCTATGCGTGCCAGGGTCGGAAAGTGTGGCAGGCGTGCCACTTTGTCGCCACCAGGCGGGGTGCGCAGGGGGTGGTCCCTCATTGCGGCCTCTATGCGTGCCAGGGTCGAAAACCGTGGCAGGTGCGGCACTTTGTCGATGCCAGAGGGGGTGTGCAGGGGGTGGTCCCTCGGCGCTGGCTCTATGCGTGCCAAGGTTGGAAAGCGTGGCGGGCGTTGCATTTTCTCTACGCCAGAGGGGGTGCGCAGAGAGTGGTGGTCCCTCAGCGCGGTCTCTACGCGTGCCAGGGTCAGACAGTGTGGCACGTGTGGCATTTTCTCACCACCAGAGGGGGTGTGCAGAGAGTGGTCCCTCAGCGCCGTCCCCTATGCGTGCCAGGGTCGGAAAGCGTGGCAGGCGTGGCACTTTGTCGCCACCAGAGTGGGGGTGCGCGGGGGGTGGTCCCTCAGCGCGGCCTCTATGCGTGCCAGGGTCGGACAGCGTGGCAGGCGTTGCACTTTCTCGACGCCAGAAGGGGGTGCGCAAGGGGTGGCCCCTCAGCGCGGCCCCTATGCGTGCCAGGTTCGGAAAGCGTGGCGGGCGTGGCACTTTCTCGCCACCAGAGGGGGTGCGCGGTGGGTGGTCCCTCAGCGCGGCCTCTATGCGTGCCAAGGTAGGAAAGCGTGGCAGGCGTTACATTTTCTCGACAGCAGAGGGGTTGCGCAGGGGGTGGTCCCTCAGCGCGGCCCCTATGCGTGCCAGGGTCGGAAAGCGCGGCAAGCGTGACACTTTCTCGACACCAGAGGGGTGCGCAAGGGGTGGTCCCTCATTGCGGCCCCTATGCGTGCCAGGGTCGGAAAGCATGGCAGGCGTGGCACTTTGTCGCCACCAGAGGGGGTGCGCGGGGGGTGGTCCCTCAGCGCGGCCTCTATGCGTGCCAGGGTCGGACAGCGCGGCAGGCGTTGCACTTTCTCGACGCCGGAGGGGGTGCGCAGGGGCTGGTCCCTCAGCGCGGTCCCTATGCGTGCCAGGGTCGGAAAGCGCGGCAAACGTATTATTTTCTCGACACCAGAGGGGTGCGCAGGGGGTGGTGGTCCGCCACGGTGCGTGACAGGGCCAGACGGCGTGGCATGCATGGTGGCCAGAACTGTAGACACCTTGGCCCAAACTGGCTGGAATGCTGCAGGTGCTGTCTTGCCGCCCGCGCCGCTCATGCTGCCCAAATGTCCCAATGACGCAGTGCCGCCTCCGTGTTTGAATATCAAGAATTCCACGGCTGACGCAAGTGTCGAGGTTAGCATTGTGAACTTGCGCACTTGCGGGGCGGCAAACACATACTATTAACATTAAGTGTGTGGGGTTCCTCGGTCGCGTCATTGGTGTTGTAAGAAACGATGTGTTGGCACAGGAAACCTCCGAACTGGCAGCGTCGTGTTTCTTTGTATGCATGTATGGATGCACGTATGTATGTAGGCATGTATGTGTGTTTGTATGTCTTTCTGTATGTTCATATGGAAGTGACTTGCGGTATCGTAAGACAGACGACGCGAGTAGGCTAACCTAGGAGCAGCTTCTGGCTTTGCATTGAGTTTGGGCAAGTGGGCCGGACTTCAGGGCCCCCAAGACGTTACAAGAGACTCCGAAGACGGGCCAAACGAGGCCCTTCGGGACCATCTCGGAGCATGTTGGAGGTTTCGGGTTCCCAGCCTCGGTTCAGAGGCCTCGCAGGAGTCACGCATCGACCCCGGGAGCGTCCCAAAAACGCACCCACAGCACCGGGCAATCGGAAGTCGGGGGCCCTTCAGAGCAGAACAGTGCGCAAGTTACAATGCGCAGTTTGCGGGACTGCTGAGGACCTGAGGGCACTCCGCTCAGTGCCTGCGGCACGGTGGCTGTTCTTTGTTTATGTATATGTATGCGTATCTGTCAGAGTGAGGGGGCTGAACCGAACGGTCATTCACTGTCTCTGGGTGCGTGGCTGCAGTGGAATTACGCGATGCGGATTATTGTTATTATTGTTGTGGTTGTTGTGGTTGTTTGTTGTTGTTGGTGGTGTTGTTGTTATTGCGGTTATTGTTGTTAGAGTTGCTGTTGGTATGGTTGTTATTGTTATTGTTATTGTTGTTGTTGTCGTTGTTGTTGTTGTTGTGGTTGTTGTGGTTGTTGTTGTTGTTGCTGTTGTTGTTGTTGTTGTTGTTGTTGTTGTTGTTGTTGTTGTTGTTGTTGTTGTTGTTGTTGTTGTTGTTGTTGTTTGTTGTTTTCGTTTTTGTTTTTGTTGTTGTTTGTTTGTTTGTTTGTTTGTTTGTTGTTGTTTGTTGTTTGTTGTTGGCTGTTGTTGTTTGTTGTTTGTTGTTTGTTTGTTTGTTGTTGTTTGTTGTTTGTGGTTTGTTGTCGGTTGTTTGTTGTTTGTTGTTTATTGTTCGTTGTTGTCGTCGTCCCACCCGCGCCCCGCCCCGCGACCCACCCGCGACTCAACCCTGCGACTCAACCCCGCGACCCAAGCCCGCGACCCACCCCGCGACCCACCCGCGACCCCACCCGCGACCCACCCCGCGACCCACCCGCGACCCACCCGCGACCCACCCCGCGACCCGCCCGCGACCCACCCCGAGACCCCCTCGGCGACCCACCCGCCACCCACCCGCGACCCACCCGCGACCCACCCGCGACCCACCCCGCGACCCACCCGCGACCCACCCGCGACCCACCGCGACCCACCGCGACCCACCCTCGACCCACCGCGCGACCCACCCAAAATTTTCTGCGCCTGCGGCGGGTTTCTTTCGCATTCGTTCCAGGTGGGGCACCTGCGACCCACCCGCGACCCAAACCGCGTTCAGTGTACAAATCAAAATGTTCGGCGCCTGCGGCGGGCTGTTTTTGAATTCCTTCCAGGTGGAGGTGGAGAGCCCGCGACCCACCCGCGACCCAAACTACGTTCACTGAACAAGCCAAAACTTCGGCGCCTGCGGCGGGTTTGTTTTGCATTCGTTCCAGGTGGAGAACCTGCGACCCAAACCGCGTTCAGTGCACAAATCAAATTTTTTGGCTCTTGCGGCAGGCTGTTTTTCAATTCCTTCCAGGTGGAGGTGGAGAGCCCGCGATTTACGCGCGACCCAAACTACGTTCACTGAAGAAGCCAAAGCGGACGAGGAAGAGGAGGAGGAGCAGGAGGAGGAGGAGGAGGGCGCCATTGACAGGGAAGGTGAAGGCCACGAGGTCCGCCGGTTCGACGCCCGCGTCGCCCGCGCCCGCCCCCTCACTCTCATCCGCAATTGCGGGGTGTTACGTATATGTATATGCACATGTGTATATAGGTATGTTTATATACAACCATGTATGTATGTATGTATGTATGTATATATATATGTATGTATAGGTAGATGTATGTGTAGATGTATAAGTGTATATGTATAGATGTGTATATATATGTATATATGTATATGTGTACGTGTATGTAAACGTACACGTATATGTACATATATATATATGCATTTTTTATGAACATGCATCGGTGACTATATATGTCTATGTATATGCATATGTATATGTGCATATATACACAACAGTATTGTTTTGTGCATGTGCATGTGCATGCGCATGCGCATGTACATGCAGCTGTACATGCGTATGTATATGTATGTATATGTTTGCATGCATACGTATATGTTCAAGTATATGCATATGCATATGCATATGTATATGCATATGTGTATGACTATGAACATGTAGGTGTTTGTGTGTATGCTTGAATACGTAATTTTGCAATGTTTAGGTATGTGTGTGAATATGTATGTTTGTATATGCATACACAAGTACATGTATTTGTCTATGTGTACGTCTGTGTATATGTGTACGTGGATGAGTATATGTGTATGCGTTATCATATGGTATATGTGTATATGAAACTGCGTATGAACATGCTATAGGTGTATATGCAAATTCGTATGAACTGTTACATGTGTTGTATGTGCATATACTAATACACGTAGATGTATGTACATGTGTATGTGTATGTGTCTTTTGTAAGCGTATGTTGATATGTATGTGTATTTGTATGTGTATTTCACAGAATATGTATACGTATATGTGTTTGTATATGTATTTGTATGTTTAGATGCACATGTTTATGTAGGTATATGTACAGTTGTATGTATGTGTGTATATCGCAGTGACAACACTTGTTCCAAGTTGCCTTCCCCAGTAATTCGTCAGCGCGGAGCAGTTCGGAGTAGAAATGCTCCAACTACTCCGCGCGTGGGCGCATCCCGGTCGATAACTCCTAGGGTTTGCAGCAGAGTAATTCGCACTCCGGTTTTTGGGTAACAGAGTTTTTAGCATACAGCGGATCGGAAATTACTGCGCCGAGTGACGCAGTCATCATGTCATGTTCGGAAAATTTTGATACATAAAATATATCATCATGATGGCAAGTTGAAGATTTTGTCCCAGCTGTGTATGTTGTATGTTCATGTGTATATATATGTTCCCCAATCAGAGCTTACTTCTGTAGGCGTCCTAGCGGATACATATGGTTAGGTGAGGTTTGGCGCCGATTTCGGCGGCACGCCCGGGTGCCCGGTAGCCTTACGGCCCTATAGCCCTAGCCCTGTAGCCCTGTAGCCCTACAACCTTATAGCCCTATAGCCCTACAGCCCTATAGCCTTATAGTCCTAATAGTCCTATAGCCCTGTAGCCCTATAGCCCTATAGCCCTACAGCCCTATAGCCCTATAGCCTTATAGCCTTATAGCCTGATAGCCCTATAGCCCCATAGCCCTACAGCACTACAGCCCTATCGCCCTATTTTCCTACAGCCCTAAAGGCTCTATAGCCCTATAGCCCTATAGCCCCATAATCATATAGCCCTATAGCCCTGTAGCTCCATAGCCCTATAGCCCTAAACAAAACATGATTATTTTTTTCTCCAGTATCATGTGTATTTCTATGTATGTGTCTACAGTTTGAGACGCATCATTGCTGGGAGAGGGGCTGAAACGGGCTGTAAGCTGCGGATGGAACTGAAGGACGGGACTGAAGCTGGAGTCGGGTGGGGGCTGCAGCTCGATCTCGAGGACGTGCGGGTACCAGTGCCGAAGCAGCGCTGGGGCTCATGCAGAAGCTGGAGCTGGACCCGGAGCGGCTGGACCTGAAGCCCAGAGGTTGGAGAAGGAATCGCAGCTCTGTGCCGCCCCGCGACGTGGAAGTGGGCCGAACGGACGTCGCCGTTAGCGTTCACCGTTAGTTTTTTTATGTTCACGGTTAGCTTTTATGTTCACCGTGGGCTGTCATGGACATTCTGTTCACCGTTAGTCTTCTCGTTATCATCGCCAACCCCATGTGCATCATTGTCATCATTATTGTCGTGCCGTCATCGGCAGCAGTATTCTTACCAGCATCAGTGTCATTAAACGAACAAGCAACTTGCATTCTTCATCGTCATTGCCATTATCGCGATGTTGGTAGCCCACGCTGCAGCCTAGGCCAGAGCTCTTATGAGACGCGTGCGGCCACGCGGGGGCCGCAACACGCGGGTGTGCCGCAGGCCATGGAGGGCCATACCCAGCCGACGCCCCGTGATGACGATGTGGGCGACATCCCCACGATGACGATGGATTTGCCGAGCGTCGCCATGGGGCGCGTTGACACTGACACCGGCACAGCGTCATCGTCAAACCCCGGGCATCTGATTGTGCGCTGCGTCCGCGGCGCGAGATTGCCCGGTGGGGGCAGGTCTCTCCCCTTCACGAACACCTCGAAAGTTTACGTGGAGCTGTTCTTGAAGGATGCGGTGTCAAGGCTACAGAGCTCGTCAAAGAGGACAGGTCTTATCCCAAAGAAACGTAATCCGATTTGGAACCAGGAGTTCACATTTGCCGTAAAACGGTCATCGGCGGCCTTGACTCTGCACCTTGAGGTGTGGGACCACGATGCCGAGCGGGAAGATAATCGAAGACGCCTCCGGCGAGTGGCCGCAGCCCCCTGCAAATCTCAGTATGGCCAAACATAGGGCTCGAGTTCTGCCAAGAGCCACTGGAGAACAAGTGCACCGAGATCGCGACAACGCGGCACCACAGCATCGAGCCACCACGGCACAGCGGCGTCGCGACACCTCGCCGCCGCGGCACCGCGACGGCGCGACGCCACAAGACACCTAGGAGGCCGCATGCGAACCCTGCCCCACCAACCCACGACTTCTGAGGGGGGAGCGAGGTGAACCCCACCCCCCTCCTTTGAAATCGTGGGGTGGTGGGGCAGGGTTCGCATGTGGCCTCCTAGCGCCGACGCCCTGACACCCTGACGCCCCGAAACCCCGGCACAGCCTCACCACGACACCACTCGCCGAGCGCGTTCCACTACTCGCAAAGTGCCTACTCGCAAAGGTGCGAAATATATAGGTCTAGCTCTCTGGAATATATCGTAAATCCCCCGTGGCGGATCCGGGCAATTTGTGAGTAGTTGATTTGCGAGTAGTGGAACGCGCTTGTCCAACCACGGCACCTCCATGCCACCCTGGCACACCGCGCCACATCCCACCGCACCCCACGGAAGCAGGCGCTTGTGCCGCCCGCCAGGAGCAGCAGGAGAGCCTCCTCGCGCGCGGGATGGGCTCACCAATCGCGAGCACGGGCGGGAGAAGCCCTCCGCGGCCGCAGCGGCATGTCCGACGATGCTGCCTCACAGGCCACCTGTTTGGGTGACAGGGAGGCTGGGGGGTCGGAGGGGCGCAGCTGTCGGTGTGCGACCAGTATCTGATCGGGTTCGCAGTCGATCTGTCTCTCGACTGCTAATCTGCCGGCCTCACTGCTTACCCGCTGGTCTCCTCATCGTCTATCCATTGACCTCGCTGTCCAGCTATTTGCGGGACGGGAAAATTACCACAGCCACTGCTTCTTGTTTGCGCCGCCTTCCAGCCGGCCGAAAAAGAAGCACTGGTTGTGGTCATGTCCCTGGTGCCAAACTCAACGAAACTGACCACAACCACTGCTTTGTTTCTGCTGGCTGGAAGGCGGCAACAAAAGAAAACCAGTGGCTGTTGTCGTTTTCACGTCCCGTACTATTGACCTCGTTGTCCACCTACTAATCTACCAATGCCGATTTCACTTACACCCCCTCGACTTCCTCATAATCATATTTACATTTGTATATATGTATATATATACATATATAGATCTATACATGTATGCATTTGCGTGCATATATATATATAAGACTGCAGTGGCGCTTCGCGCCATGCATCTTGGTTCTTGAATTTTGGTATGCAGGCGGACTGGCAAGCCGACAACTTAGCGATAACTCCTTGTTGCCTTTTCCGGCATCGCCGTTATAATAATGTTATTCGTTGTCCTTCGTCCATGCTTCTTTTTCCTCATTCTCGCCATACCTTGCGCATTCTCGCCATCCTCCTCAGCTCTTTTTGCGGACGCTCCTCCGTAGAGAGCTTCTGGGGGCCTCGCACAAATGTTTCAGGCTTTCTTAACGCCTTCTGGAGGCCTCCTGGGCGTGTTCTGGGGGCCTCTGGGGGCTTCCTCGGGCCACCCTGCCTCCAACCGCGGTCTCCCTGAACGACGGGGTCACGATTTGGAATACTTCGGAGGGTGCCTTGAGGTCATCTTGGGCCGCCATGGGGCTCTCTTAGGGCCATCTTGGACTCCTGTTGTGCCGTTTTGGGGCTCTCTTGGACTGCCTGGAAGCCCTTTCAGATGGTTGTGGGGCGATTTGGGAGCCTCCCAGACGGCTTCGGACGCCCAGAAGACCGTTGTCTTGGAGCGTCGGGAAGCCGAAAAGAGGAGAACCCTAAAATTCACCGAAAACCAAAAGAAAATCAATGATTATTGCTTCTTGGGGCCTTCATGGGAGTGCTCTTGGAGGCCTCTTAGGACGTTTTGGAGCGATCTTAGGGGGTACGTGGACCGTATTGGGGCTTTTTGGGGTCGTTTCGGGAGCGCGCGAGAAGGCCTGGAAATCGTTTGGGGCTGTCTTCGGGGCTCTCGTGAGGTTTTCCGGGTCGTCTGAAGGGTTGCCCGGAGGCCCGGGGAGGGCCAAATTTGTTAGGGGTGGGGCTTTTTCCGGCGTCCCCGGCCCTAAAAGATATGTATGAATAGGTATGTACGTACGTACGTATGCATGCATGCATGCATGTATGTATGTATGTATGTATGTATGTATGTATGTATGTATACACATACGCACGCACGCACGCACGCACGCATGCATGCATGCATGTACGTACGTATGTATGTATGCATGTATGTATGTATGTATTATGTATGTATGTTGGTATGCATGTATGTTTGTATGCTTGTATGTATGTATGTTTGTTTGTATGTATGTGCGTATGCATGTGTGTATGTATGTATACATGCATTTATGTATGTATGTATGTATGTATGCATGCATGTATGTATGTATGCAGGTATGCATGCATGCATGCATGTATATATGTATGTATGTACGTATGTATGTATGTATGCATGCATGCATGCATGCATGCACGCATGTATGTATGTATGAATGTATGTTTGTATGCTTGTATGTGTGTATGTATGTACGTACGTACGTACGTATGTATGTATGTGAGTATGTGTGTAGATGTATGTACGTATGTATGTATGTATGCATGCACGTATGTATGTATGTATGCATGCATGCATGCATACATCCATGTATGTATGTACGTACGCACGTATGTATGTATGTATGCACGCATGCATGTATGTATGTATGTATGCATGTATGTATGTATGTATGTATGTATGTATGTATGTATATAGGTATGTATATATGTGTGTGTATGTATGTATGTATGCATGTATGCATGTATGTATGTATGTATGTATGCATGTAGGTATATTTGCATGCATGTATGCATATATGCATGTATGCATGTATGCATGTATGTATGTATGTATGGAAGTATGTATGCATGCATGCATGTATGTATGTACGCGTGTGTGTATATATATATATATATATATATATTTAGATACAAGACTTGAAGCTCGCTGCGCTTCGCTTGGAGGTCTTGGCACGATGCGCTGGCGTGCAGTGTGCGAGTGAAGTGCGACTATGCGGGCTGAAGCGTCGGCGATGGGCAGGGACGGGGATGGGAAGGTCACGGGCGCATGGGCGTCGGCCCATGGAGTGCGCGCGCGCCGTGCGCGCGCGCCGGGTTGGCAAGGGGCGATGCACGCGACGGTCATCGGCGATTAGATTAGGCGGGGATGCAACGCCGAGGGCAGGGGAAAGGAGAGGGAGGCTTCGGATGAGGTGAATACAACGAAAAGGGTGCTGGGTGAATACAACGTTTTGGATTCTGAGCTGAACATCATCGCCCGCAGTGCTCGCATTGGATGGCCATATCTCCCAAAGAAATGGATGTGAGTGTTGATGGTGGACCACCGCTGCGGGGGGGGCGGGGACGCAGTTCAGGCAAACTGGTTTTGGCCGATGTCGAGCGCCTCGTGGGAACATGTCCGTAGGCCAGCAGACGCCGCAGCTGGAGCACGCGAGGTCTGTAAACATTCTGGATGTCCCGCTCCTCTGGTGTGCAACGCCCGCGCAACTGAGGCACGTTCTGTGACCTCGTCTCCGCTGGCGGAGCGCGCGGTCGGATACCGGAAGCTGGACGCCGCAGTTGGCACAAGGTTTGAGAGGCGCAGCGGCATTGTCTGTGGAACAGCATTCCTTGCACTTGGCTGTCTCAGGTGACGCATGCAGTTGCGTCGAGGAGAAAACAGAAAGTGGCAGGAGGTGGTGGCATTGGGTGCAAGCCAAGCCTGTGCGTTTCGGTGGCATGGCATGGGCTGTCGCGATGCAACTTGAGCCTGCGGCAACGGATAATGACAACTGAGATGATGACGGAGTGTAGGAGGCGCACGTAGGACTACGACGATGATGACCTGGTTGTGGCGACGACGGAAGTGGGATGCACAGGGGACGGGAAAGCTTGACGCATGTATGGGGTTTAGGGGTTGGGAAGGTGATGGGGGGGCGAGTTGTGGAGAAGGGAGGCTCGCAGGGGGTGGGTGCCATGTTAGTGATGATGATTCCGTTCATGACATGCGTGGTACATGCGGTGCATTCGGGACAACTTCAGGATTCGGGGCCCTATTGGGGAAGACGGAGGGGTCGGAATTCTTCTTGGCGGGTGGGACACAAGGGGTTGGGAAGGTCAGGGGCAGCGCCTGTGGACAGGGTGTTTACCATGGCGGTGACCACGCTGATGATGACGTGGTTGTGGCGACGACGGAAGTGGCATGCGCAGGGGGCGGGGGGGGCAGGGGCTCGCCAGCCTGGATCGAAGGAGCGGCCCGAAACCAGGACCCCCCCCTCAGCCCGACGTGGCCTTTCTCTCGGCGTCTTGACTGTGTGCTCGGATCTGCGAATCTACGCAATAAACCTCGTGCCAGCGAAGCGGTCTGGACGGCTGCTTGCCCGCGCGCTTCCTTCCCTGTCCGCCTGCGCGCGCGGCCGCTGTTTCATCGGCATGCGCGCGCGTGGCTTGCATTGTCGTGCCCTCCTGCCTTGCTGCAAAGAGAAAATATTTACACTGCCCCATGCCTGCAGTCCGCGGAGCACCTGGTCGGGTCCAGGTGTTTCGAAGCACATCAACGATTTGGGTCTCGCGGGGCCCTCTTCGGAGGCCTCTCGGAGGCCTCTTGGGCGGTATTGGAGGCCTTTTGGGCAGTCGTCAAATCATCGTAGGCGTCTTGGGCAGATTATTCGGCGATTTCGGGCACTTTGGACCGTCTTGGGAAGCCCAACTGGCGGGCCAGAGAACACCCAAGGGACACCTGGGGCCTCCGGGGACTGGCCAGAGAGAGCCCCACGGGCCCCTGGGGCCGCCAGATTCTTTTTTTTTGGGTGGTGCCGCCCATCCCCGGGGATCTCCTAATGTGAGATAATTAAGATAGGAATATGCGTGTGTGTATATATATATATGTATATATATGTGTATATATGTATATATATATATATATATATATATATATATATATATATATATATATGTATTCCTCTTGCTCTAATTTTGCAAGCCGGGGGGTGGGGCCCCCTGGGCATCCTTGCCAAAGATCCCCCTGCTCGCCCGGGGCCTCCCAGGGCGCCTAGCCGGGTCTTGTCAGCAGATCCCAAGCGATCACAGCGGTGATCAGAGAGGCCGAAGGGAGACCCAAGACAGCACAAGAGCGCTCCAAGAAGGACCCAGATGGCCTCCAGCTGCCCCCAAGACGGCCCAGGAGGCCCTCAATCGGATTTAACGCAGAAATCGCTTCATTCCCTAAGGACAAATGCAATTTCAGCATATTCGCTGTTCGGGTCCCAAGAGGAGGAGCAGGAGGAGGTAATGAGATGGCGCCGTCGGGGGGTGTTTCATATGTACGTACACGCTTGCAGAAATGTCTGGCAGTGAATGACGACAAAAAGCTTTCGCGTAGGCCCGCACATTGGCCAGCTCGTGGCTCAGGTGCCCCGGTTCGCAATGCGAAGGAATGGCAGGCCATGCGAATGAATGCCAAGCGAACCGACGCAATGTCAAGCAATGCCGCAGGAGTACAAAGCAAAGCCAAACCGAGGATGTCATGTTGCAGTGGGTCGGAACGGGGCACGTGAAAATAAGTAATTATTGGGGAATTCACCGACTCCCGGGGTTCGCAACAGATTTCCCGCAAATGTGGTTACGAACCCGGGATTCGGGTCAGTTTGGTGGAACACGCCTTGTGGGCATTGTTGGAGCCCCCCGTGGGCTGGCTCGGGGCCCTCTCGAGCCGTCCTGGGCCCCAGAAGGCGCCCAAGAGAGCCCCAAGAAGGCACGGGAGGCCCCCCAAAAAGGCCATGGGAGGCCACCAGGAGGGCCTACGCACCCCAAGAGTGCCGAAGCAAGCCCCGAAGGCGCTAAAAAGAAACCCAAGAGGCCTTGAGAAGGCGCCCAAGAGAAGCCAAAGAGGGGACGGGGGGCCTCCAGGGGGGCCCTGGGGGGCCACCGGGAGTGCTTGCGTAGCCCCCGTAATGTTCTTGGAGGACCCAAGTTCCCTAACGCGGCTCAAGATGGCCTCAGGACGGTTCGACAGGGCGCCAAGCCGGCCCGCCTGGGCCCCAACAAGACCCACACGGCGTTTTCCCTAAAACTGACTCGAATCCCAGGTTCGCAACCACATTTCCGAAAATTTGTTGCGAACCCAGGATTCGGTCCATTCCTTACGAATTACTCACGTTCGCGTGCCCCGTTGCAACCCGGTGCAACATGACATCCTCGGCTTGGCATTGCTTTGAACTTTGCAACATTGCTTGACATTGTGTAGGTTTGCTTGGCATTTCTTCCCCCTGCTCCTCTGGGCCGTCCTCCTCCTCCTCCTCCTCACCTTTCTGCCGCTCCACCACTCGTCCTCCCCCACATCCGTTTCCTTCCCTCGCTCCCCGACATTCCCCCCCTCCTACCCTTCGCCCTCCACCCAGCGCCTGTCGGGGGCCCCTGGAGGCCCTCGAAGGGCCAGGGACCGCCCGAACTTTTGAAGACTTCTGCAAACCACCGCAAGGAAAGGGACAAACATCCATAAGGATGGCGCGAACGACCAACATATTCAAAGCCTCAAGGTGTCGGCCTCTCAATCGCCGACCTCACTATCTTTCTGCATTGCCCAGGTGAGTTCTTTCTCCCCATAGCGGTTCAACGATATGCATGTCGATTTTCAGTTCGACTCTCATGCCGAATTCAATTTCGAATAGCCTTGCGATTTCCGCTGGATCTCCATTGGATTGACATGGCGGGGTTCCGATGTCGATTTGCCCTACGTATGCAGCTCAGTGTTTCGGTTTTCACGTTTATTTGTGCACCGATTGCATTCCGCTTCGTATTTGTGTTTACGTTTCGATGTGCATTTCTATTTCTATGTTCATCGCATTTCGATGTGCATCTTGATTTTCATATCGATTTGAAGTTCGGCTGCAGCTGTATCCGCATTCCGATGATCATGCCGATTTTCCTTCCGACCGCAATTCGATGTACTTTGCCTCACGCATTCCGAATTGCCTTCTGCTTTGCATGTCGGCATGCGTTTCGACTCGCAAGCTTAATATCATTTCGATGCCAATTAGTTGTGAGGTGCCATGTTGTTTTCGATTTAGGGTAGATGCGATGTTCGCATTGCACGTTGGTTGCAATTCGATGTGGTGCTCGATTCACTGACAGTTGCGCATGCCGATTTGCATCTCGATTTGCAGTTTCATTGCGATTGGATTGGCGTTCACATTTCCCTACCTAGGCTCTGCCTAGAAGGGTTCTTACTCTCTTAGCTTAAAGGGTCCGGGCAGTGTAATTCGCCCCGGGCGGCTGCCCCAGGATCCGCCCCCCGGTTCCCCCAGTTGCGTCCTCTTAGCTTAGTTTTGCTTATCTCATCTTAGGTAAGCCTAGCTTAATTTAGCTTAGCTTAGCTTAGCTTAGCTTAGCCTAGCCTAGCTTAGCTTAGCTTAGCTTAGCTTAGCTTCGCCTAGCCTAGCTTAGCTTAGCTTAGCTTAGCTTAGCTTAGCTCAGCTTAGCTTAGCTTAGCGCAGCGCAGCATTAGCATTAGCATAGCATAGCATAACATAGCATAATACAACATAGCATAGCATAGCATAATATAGCATCGCGCAGCATAGCATAGCGCAGCATAGCATATCATAGCATAGCGTAGCATATCATATCATAACAAACCATAGCGCAGCACAGCATAGCATAGCATAGCATAGCATAGCATAGCATAGCATAGCTTAGCTGAGCTTATCATAGCACAGCGCAACATAGCATAGCATAACATAACATAGCGCAGCATATCATAGCATTTCATAGCATAGCATAGCATAGCGCAGCATAGCACAGCATAGCATATCATAGCATAACACAACGCAGCATAGCATATCAGAGCATAGCCTAGCCTAGCATAGCATAGCGCAGCATAGCATAGCATAGCATAGCGCAGCATAGCATAGCATAGCGTATATGTGAGTGTAGTTGTATATGTAGATGTAGATGTAAATGCATGTGTGCGTGTAGATGTAGCTGTAGGTGTAGATGTGGATGCAGGTCTAGATGTAGATGTAGGTATTAAGCTGTACTACTACTACTACTACTACTACTACTACTACTACTACTACTACTACTCCTCCTACTAGTACTACTACTACTACTACTACTACTACTACTACTACTACTACTACCACGACTACTACTACTACTACTACTACTACTACTACTACTACTACTACTACTACTACTAACTACTACTACTACTACTACTACTACTACTACTACTACTACTACTACTACTAACTACGACTACGACTACGACGACTACGACTACGACTACTACTACGACTACTACTACTACTACTACTACTACTACTACTACTACTACGACTACTACTACGACTACTACTACTACTACTACCACCACTACTACTACTACTACTACTACTACTACTACTACTACTACTACTACTACTGCTACTACTTCTACTACTACTACTACTACCGCTACTGCTACAACTGCGACGATGAGGAGAAGGAGGAGGACGGCATTTACCCTTACTACTAATATTGCTCTCCTCGGGGCTCCAATCCCTTAGGTAGGGTCGCTCTGGGATAATTTTATTTCGATTTGCACTCCGATTTCCACCAGATCGACGTTTCGAGTTTTCTTGCCCACGGAAGAACTGGCGCGACGACCACGGGACAACTTTGGGGCCAACCCACGGGACCACCCACGGGGAGAAACCGCGGGACAACCCACGGGACCACCCCACGGGACAACCCACGGCACAAACCGCGGGACAGCCCACGAGGCAGCCGCGGGATCAATTCACGGGACCACCGCGGGACAATCACTGGGCAACCACTGGGCAACGGGACAATCGCGTCAGTATCATGTAAACTTTCCCCATCCCCATCTCCATCCCCATCCCGATCCTCACAGTCTCACCACTTCAGCTGAGGATATGCCCCTCGAAACTCGAAGGGAACAGCCTATATCGATATCCCCATCTAGGGGGATAAATCGGCCTGCCCAGGCCATGCTGGTGGGGATGGGGATCGGTTAAACGATGCTCGGCGGGGCAACCGCGGGACAACCATGGCGAGAACCGCATGACGGTACCAGACTCGTCTTGTACGCTTTTTGGCCCTGGCCTTGGCCGAAACGTCGTCCTCCTTGGGCAGCCTCTCATCTTCCCCCTGTGGAGGCACCCCCTTGTGTTGGTGTTGGCGCCCATTTCCAGGCCTCCAAGCCTCGCGTCGCTCGCACGTACGACACGAGCCGGAACTGAAACCGATCTCGCCGCTGGGTCCCCTTCGGTCTCACCCCACTGTGGGCAAGACGCCGAAAGAAGGACCGCCTCGGGCTCGCTGCTCCTGGGCCATTTCGTGGTTGCTCCTCTGGCCCGCCTCGTGCGCTCAGGCCCTTTCCTGCGCCCCAGAAAGGGGGGGGGCATCGTTCCTTGTTCGCCTTCCTTCTCTCGGCAGCCCGGCTGGAGTCTCCGACATGCCCGTCGCTCCCCAGAGCCCACGTGTGGGCTGGCAGATTCGCTGGGCAAGGCGTCCCTGACGCTGGACCCCGGCCTCCTGCGGCAGGCCTCCAGGACGCGCCAGGTGAGGGACCTGCCCCTGTCGCACAGCCTCGAGGTCATCAGCCTGCCGCTTGCGGGCCGAGCTGGCAGCGTCCGCGTGGAGATCGGATGGGAGCCAGACCTGGAGGCGTTGATGGGGGCGAATGGCCCAGGGGGGGAGCAGTGCATGCATCCAGGGACGCCGATGGTCCATATCTTCGGCGAGGCTCCCGGAGGGATGCGTGTAATGCCCGCCCCCTGGGCTATTGGCCCCTATCGTGGCCTCCGACAGACGGCGGGAAGTGGACGGGATCTGGCGACACTGTCACTGTCTGGAAGATGATCGCATCGCCGCCTGTATTGCGCTTGGCTGCCATCGCGATGAGCGGACTGGCGGGCTTGATGATGGTGGTGGCGACGGCTGCACGTTGGTTAATCACCGTCGAGGGCGACACGGTCTTCGTGCCAGCAGCGGCCACGAGTTGTGCCATGGCAGCCACATTTCAGATCACGGTGTTCTTGATACACTTCCTTGGCGCGGCAGGTGTCATCGCCTCAGAGCAGGAGGCATGGGGTCACATGCCCCCAACTCTGATGTCGTTGGCAGAATCGGGTCTAGACGAGCGTGGCACCAAGAGTCTCATGGACCATAGACAGGAGTTCACAATCGAGGCGACGATCAAACCAGAAGTACAGATGGGTGGTTTTCAGATGGGTGTGAACTTATCGAAGACGCCTCCGGCGAGTCACCACCGCTCAAAGGATTATCCGACATGATTGCGTGGAGGGTAGTAGGCAACGTTTTGACAAGCAATTGGGTTGTGCGGGGTTCCCGAGTCGTTTCGGAATCAAGGGGGAAGACTGGGCGAGGGGCGCGGAAACGTCTGGGGATCCATTGGCGCAGTGTGACATCTTTGGTGCACGCGGACCCGCCATGTCGATAGCATTGAAGCGAGCAGTAGCACGATAGCGCTCCGAGGTAGTGCTCTCCGCGCTATTGCCGCAACGGCTCGGGGAACAGATGGGCACAGGGAAAAGGACGGCCATAGGCACCCGCGGGAATCCGCTCACAGAGTCGTGAAGCCGATCCTACAAGAAGCACCCCCTGGGCGTGCCCAGCCCTCTCTGGGCATCTCGCAACGCGCCGAGTCTCCGAGGGGCTCAGAGAGTTTTGGTGTTCCAGTCTCCTGTGATCCTCAGGACACCCTGGGAGCAGGACGTGCCAGGCGATCGCAGGCATGAATCCAAGGGGGCGTGGATGAGCGACGGGTGCATGTGGTGGCGCCAGGTGTGCGTGCGACGGCGGAGCGCTGGGCAGCGCCCAGGACGGTCTCAGCTAGATGCCAGCACGTCGGCGCTCCTCTGGGCCCCTCCCGAGCCCTCCCGTGGGCCCAGGAAGCGGCGACAGACGTCACGAGCGGCGAACATGTCCCGGGCCCTCTTCGGGACACCGGAGAGGCTCCAGGAAGCGGCGACAGCTGTGCGCCTGGCAGAACACGCGGGGTGGAGGTGTCAAGGAGGAAGAGGAGGAGGAGGAGGAAAAGGAGGAGGAGGAGGAGGAGGAGGAGGAGGAGGAGAAGAGGAGGAGGAGGAGGAGGACCACCAGGCTGGCCAGTCGACGGACGGGAGCACGAGGAGGAGGAGGAGGAGGAGAGGAGGAGGAGGAGGAGGCGGAGGAGGAGGAGGAGGCGGAGGCGGAGCGGAGCGGAGGCGGAGGCGGAGGCGGAGGCGGAGGCGGAGATGGAGGCGGCGGCGGCGGCGGCGGAGGAGGAGGAGGAGGAGCGGAGGAGGAGGAGGAGGAGGAGAGAAGGGAGAGGAGGAGGAGGAGGAGGAGGAGGAGGAGAGGAGGGAGGAGGAGGAGGAGGAGAGGAGGAGG